AGAAGCAGAAGAGCATGGGCTCTGTATGTCGCGCAATAGCGAAAGACGCAGTCTCCGTCGAGGAAGACAACAAGAATCAAACAGCAGAGGCGAGCCCCGGTCGCATCGCAATGTAGTCTGGTAGGATGAGTGAGAAAGCGATCTGGCCAGCTGTTCCTGCGCCTTGGACATTGAAACGGCCCGCCGCGGCAGCCCCAACGCCACACTTGCCGCCTGCGCCACACCCCAGCCCGGAGAGTGACGCGACTTCAAGACACATGGGCTCTACAATTCACACAGCACCACCTGCGCCCTTCACTCCCGAGCCCGTCACCCATTTCGAGGCATACTTGATACGTCGACATTCCCTGGATCCTCGTCGGCACTAGAAACTAAGCGTCCAGTCGCCCAGACATTGCATCCAGACACCCCCGAAACGCCGCGGACCCCCGAAGGCAGCCAATATACCTATAACCACACCCAAGCCCGTCGCACATGAGGTCGAACTAGCCAACCACTCCTTCCTGAACCGCGGCACCATCTTCGCTCGCCCATGAGCCATGGCTGCACCCCACCAGTACCACCAGCCAAATGCGCCAGATGAGGACTCGGACCTGGAACTCGACCTAGAGGAGCTGGACCCTCTGGCCACCCACTCGCAGTCCACCTCTACACCACCGCGCCGGCAATCCAGGGAGCAAACAAGGCCGTATCATGAACTAGGCGCGAGGATACCGCTGAGGAATCTCAGGGTAGGCCGGTTGCGCGCGAGCAAGAAGAAGGAAGAGCCGGAAGAGGATGACCTGAGAGGGCTGTTGGACGACGATGAAGGGTCTAAGAGAGACTCTGCCGGCAGTTATGGCCAGTCTGGAGACGACGACTCGCCCCTGCTGTCTGCACAACACACAGTACGGAGAAGACGGCAACCACCACCGAGCAAACTATCCCGCCTAGGCTCAGCCATGCGCCTGCCCAGCTTCCTCTCACGACAGAACAATGCGCCTATACAGCTGGGTGATGATAATGGAGAGTCAGATGCCGAAGAAGAGCATGATCCGACCACTCAGCGCACCATCTCCGTCGGCCAGCTTCAAACCTCGAGATTCCCTGCAAACGCCGTATCCAACGCCAAATATACCCCGTGGAGTTTCCTACCCCGCACTCTATACAATGAGTTCTCCTTCTTCATCAACATGTACTTTCTGCTCGTCGCTCTATCACAAATCATACCTGTCCTGCGAATCGGCTACCTCTCGACCTACATCTTTCCCTTGGCGTTTGTCATATCCATCACTCTAGGGAAAGAAGCTATGGACGATATTGCGCGAAGGCGGCGAGACGCAGAAGCGAATTCCGAAGGTTACACAGTTCTGAAGTTCGAAGAGAACAGCAACGGCAACGGCGTCGCGCCGGGCAAGAACTCGCAGAAGAAGAACCGTTTGAGGAAGCAGGCCAAGGACCGGGGTCGGTCAGCCGATATTGATGAAGAGGAGCAGCGACTTTCAGGCAAGGGTTTGGCCACGTGCACCTACTGGGAAGTTGTAAAACCCTCTCGGAGCCTCAAAGTTGGAGATGTCGTAAAGCTTGGCAAGGACCAGCGAGTGCCTGCCGACATGGTGCTTCTCAAGAGCTACTCCAGCGAAAATGCAGCACCTTCCGAAGATGGGTCTAAAGCGCAGAGTTCGTCGGCCGCGCTTATCGACGGTTTGGATTCTGAAGACACAGCCAAGGGAGACACAGCCAAGGTCGATAGTGCCATAGCTACCGGATCCTCAGGCGAGGCCTTTATCCGAACTGATCAGTTGGACGGTGAAACCGATTGGAAGCTACGCCTGACTTCACCGCTCACCCAGAACTTGGATGTTGGCGAGTACACACGGCTCCGCGTCGTCGCTGGCAAACCGGACAAGAAGGTCAACGAATTCTACGGAACCGTTGAACTGCCTCCCAAGACACAGCGCCAGTATGACCCTCATGAGAATGAAGAAGCGGCCTCTCCTGAAGAGGTACATTCAGCATCCTTGAGCATCGACAACACCATTTGGGCAAACACCGTTGTTGCCTCAAGCTGCAGTCTGTTAGCTGTCGTTGTATACACTGGCCCCCAAACCCGTCAAGCGCTCTCTACATCGCCTTCCCGGTCCAAAACTGGTTTGTTAGAGCTGGAGATCAACTCCCTGACAAAATGGCTCTGTGTCTTTACACTGTCGCTCTCATTCATACTAGTCGCCCTTGCGCGCTTCCAAGTCATCGAAGGCAGGCAGTGGTGGCAATCTATGCTGCGTTTCCTCATTCTGTTCTCTACCATCGTACCAGTAGGTCTGCGTGTAAATCTTGACATGGGCAAGTCAGTCTATGCGTGGTTCATCCAGCATGATGAGAGCATCAAAAACACCATTGTTCGGACTAGCACGATCCCAGAGGACCTAGGCCGTATTGAGTACCTGTTGAGCGACAAGACGGGTACTTTGACACAGAATGGTATGTCAAACAACAAAGGGACTCTGACATGACTAACAACATTCAGAGATGATCATGAAAAAGATACACGTCGGTACGGTCTCGTATGCAAACGAAGCAATGGACGAAGTATCGTCATATGTTCACCAATGCTTTACACCACCCACTGGAGAAGCTCCGTCACTCGTCACGCCATCTTCTGCAAATACCGCGCCTCTGACCTCAGCTACTCGTACACGCCGAGAGATTGGATCTCGAGTTCGCGATGTTGTGCTGGCTCTAGCACTTTGCCACAATGTAACACCGACTACTGAGGAAGAAGATGGGGAAACGGTAACTACGTACCAAGCCTCTTCCCCAGATGAAATTGCCATCGTGAGATGGACCGAGGCTGTTGGCTTGAAGCTACTGTCCCGCGACCGCGAGTCTATGACCCTACTATCGTGCGACAGCGGCAATACAGTGGTCAAGGTGCGCATTTTGAACGTCTTTCCGTTTACTTCTGAAGGCAAGCGCATGGGTATTGTTGTAAAGTTCTATCACGGTCCGGCATCATCACCCACCGATGATGGTGGCGAGATCTGGTTCTACCAAAAAGGTGCCGACACGGTCATGACCTCCATTGTTGCCGCCAACGATTGGCTCGACGAGGAGACAGCAAACATGGCACGCGAAGGTCTCCGAACACTGGTCGTCGGTCGCAAGAAACTCTCCGCGCAAATCTACCAAGACTTTTCCACCAAGCATGCCCAGGCATCCCTTGCCCTCAACAACCGCGATGCCGCCGTCGCCAGTGTAGTAAAGGAATTCCTGGAGAACGACCTGGAACTTCTTGGCGTTACAGGTGTTGAAGACAAGCTTCAAAAAGACGTCAAGCCCTCTCTCGAACTCCTCCGTAACGCAGGCATCAAGATCTGGATGTTGACTGGTGACAAAGTAGAAACCGCCCGTTGCGTAGCTGTCTCATCAAAGCTCGTAGCCCGCGGCCAATACGTCCACACAATTGCCAAGCTAAAACGCAAAGACCTCGCCTCCTCCTCACTCGACTTCCTCCGCGGAAAACTAGACGCATGCCTCCTCATTGATGGAGAGTCTCTCGCGCTGTTCCTCCAACACTTCCGCCAGGAATTCATCTCCGTAGCCGTCCAGCTGCCCACTGTCGTAGCCTGCCGCTGCTCTCCAACGCAGAAGGCAGACGTTGCCCGCCTGATTCGCGAATTCACCAAGAAACGCGTATGCTGCATCGGCGACGGTGGCAACGACGTCTCCATGATTCAAGCCGCAGACGTCGGCGTGGGTATCGTCGGAAAGGAAGGTCGTCAAGCCTCCCTCGCAGCAGACTTCTCCATTGAGCAATTCTGCTACCTCGTGAAACTACTGGTCTGGCACGGTCGCAACAGCTACAAGCGTTCTGCTAAGCTGAGTCAATTCGTCATCCACCGCGGTCTCATCATCAGTATTTGCCAAACCGTCTTCTCCATCTCAAGCAACTTTGAGCCCAACGCTCTGTACAAGGACTTTTTGCTCGTCGGCTATAGTACCATCTACACCATGTGGCCTGTCTTCTCGCTTGTGTTGGATCGAGACGTTGATGAGAGCGTTGCGAATCTCTATCCGGAACTCTACGCTGAACTCAAAACGGGGAGGTCGCTATCCTATAAATCCTTCTTCATCTGGGTCGCCGTATCCATCTACCAGGGCTCAATCATCCAGGGACTATCACAACTCCTCATCGGTGTTGGTCTTTCAACTACACCCCCTGCGGAACCCGACCCCACTTTCCTTAAAATGGTCAGCGTCAGTTTCTCGGTGCTGATTGTTAATGAACTTATCATGGTGGCTATGGAGGTTACGACTTGGCATTGGTTCATGATTGCTAGTATCGTGGGTACGGCTGTCGTTTACTTTAGCTCCATACCGTTCTTGACGGGCTACTTTGATCTTGCGTTTGTGGGTAGCGTGGCGTTTTGGTGGAAGTTTGCGGTTATCGCGGCGATCAGTCTTGTACCGCCTTATGCGGTCAAGTTGTTGGGGAGGACGCTGAAGCCGCCGAGTTATCGTAAAGTGCAAGGTGTATAGGAAGTGGGTTTGCATAGCGGGAGTTCTTTTGAGTTTGGAAGCAATGAGATTTTATTTCTACTCTTCATCAGTTTCTCTGGTTTTCCAGTGTGTGCGGCCTTTTCGAGCAGGCCCTTTTGCTTAGCTGGGCAACTGATCTTTCATCATAGTCCTGTTCCTCGATACGGTTGCTCGTTTGAACATGTCCGCGACGAAGGCAGTTCATGTCTTAGTAAAGGAAAGAGAGAATGAGAGGCTTGCTGAAGATTTTGCACAGAACAGATATCACGTGTATAGAACATTTGAGACAATCGATTCAACAGACACTACAATTACTATGATGTTGTACAAGTATGAGAAAGCGCGAATGGCATATGAAGGTCGTCGTTGTGCTACCGTATGGTTACTTTGACTGACTTAACCCTAGAGCTTCTTCTCAAAGCGTTTATACATCAGAACGACAGCGTGCATTCCAGTACCCCCATAAACTTGGGGATTCGCCCTCAATTCTAATAAACTTCGCTGACTGACCAAATGATCGTTGATGTAGAAGACATTCTGAGGGCCACGTACGCTCGCAACCCAGTGACCTGCATTGTGTTTACCGCCATGAGCAAGTACACTGCTTAATCGATACATGAGAAGCGGTGGGCCGTCACCAACAGCTTGATATTCAGACAAATTCAGAACCTCGGGAAGATTCACGGGATTCAAGTTCGGTGTACCGTTACTGTTGACGATACTGAGCTTGATGCGGAGATATTCTGGTGATCCTTCAATACGTGTAGACTGCATTCTTTGCTGCGTGCTGTTACAGATGTGACAGTGGAAGGTACTGAGTGGAGTTGGTTCGAACTCTCGTCTCATAGCTTCTTCAAGGCTGTCTGGTGTGCCGTTAGAGAGAATCGCGATGTTGTTGAAACCGATACTGTCGGGGGCGGGATTGTTTGGGGGAACCTGCTGAGAACCGCATGGACAATTCCAGAAGCACTCTTGTTGCAGTATGAACAGGGCTTCGTAGCGAGCTTTCCAGGCCGTGTTTTCATTGAGACTGTTTGGGTTAGCGTAAGGTAATCTAATGTCGCCGAGAAGACTTACTGGTAATTAACAGACTCGAGACATGCTGTTAATAGTCGCGTTTGCATCTCCTCTGGGTCCTCTTGTGCGTTCCCTGCCCCAGTGTCTGCTCCTGGTGTAAATTGCCGCAGCATGTTGTCAACTTGGTGAACTCTGTCTAGCTCTGCATTGTTGAAGGGTAGACTATCAGGTACACCACCAGCATTGAGATTTTGGATACCCCAGTAGAACTGCGCTAAAGCCTTCACCGCGCAAGCGGGACAGTCTGTTAACGTACTTCCTGGGTTTTTCTTCTCTTTTTTCTCGAGTTTCTTCTTGAGCTGAGTCAACTCCTTTTCAGGCAATTCGTCTATACTAGGAATTTTCTTGTTCGACGATATAGTAGTACTGGACATATTCAAATCTAATTGTGCATGGATCACATGAGCGGGACGGCATGGGAAGATCCGGGTTCCATTGCGCATGCTATTATGAGAGATGATCCACTGAAGAAATCTTGGCAAGTGTAACAGTGCTTGTAGACCGCTGAGTCGGAAACAAGTGTTGCCATTTCGCCTCAGACCTCTGCTTTTTTTACTTCGGTTTCTTGGGATAGGCCAGGTATTTGGAATTTGTTTAGCAGCAATGTTCTTAGCTACTTGCCTCGCATGTGGCGCAGCCATTGGGTAGAGGCTCGTGCCACGCATATTGGGACGTTGCCGCGGCGCATTGTGCGCCGTACGGTGTCCCCAAGGATTTGTGGACATGTTTGGTCGTGACTGATAGAAATAATATCGGTGGTGGTATAGTCTTGTTCCTTATAGATGGTAATGTATCTTTTTTTGCCAACCAGCCGTACGAATGATTGAGAGATAGTCATGTTATACGACTTGACTCACAAAGCGAACAATGGTCGAGATGAATGGCTTTGTCAGACTCTGCAACTGCATCCGACAACAAAGGCATTGTATATTAGAGCAACTGATGAGAACAGAATCTATCGCGATACCACCGCTGCCTTGAATCTTTGTCTGAGCAACGTAGTGAGGTGTTGATGATTGATACCAAATTTGGATTTCTGGTCAATGCTGTTATATTTACATACCCTTGTCCAACATGACCCTGGGTCACTAATTTCCCATTAACTAGGAACGCCTTCATACTCCCAGCCATCAACCAGTCTTCTCTTCCGTCCTCTCTTGTTCTCCCTCCGATTTGCAGCGCATTTGACAAAGAAGGTTAACGCAGCCAAAAGAAAGATAATCACAGCCGCTACAGTTGGCACTACAACGATGCGCGTACGATTCGTGTCTGTCGTAGGAAGGTACGGACACGTTCCATTGAGTCCAATGACCCAGCAGTCTGGCACACTTAAAGCATTCAAGTTGATGTAAAGCGCGTCATCATTAGGAGCGGCGGCCTGAAAAGCAGAAAACAGGTGCGAGTTTTCTAGCGCGGTGTGTGGGACATTAAATTGGTATGGGTCTTTGCAATAGTATTCGGCGTTGCGATAGTAAGTTGAATCGTCGGAGATACGCCAGTCGTAAGGTTGTCGGGGATCGTGGCAGGCGACACGATGGTGTTGGTTGCAGTCTTCTACGCGCCAGCGCCCTGCATAGGGTGGTTTCATCATCATGACGACGCAGCGGTTGTCATTAGTGTCGTCCCCCTCTTCAGAGGAATTGAGGGGTTGACCAGGCGCGAACGACCATAATGTAGACTGTACATATGCGGCATAAGGCAAGGGATTCTTGTCCGCAGTGGTGTCTCCGAGGGTTTGATTGAGGAAGGGGGTTATACCACAGGCGGTAAAGTTAGTGACCGAGGGTATAATCGAGGAGAAGTCTGGGTTTGCGCTGATATCGAGTGATGGGACTTCGGCAAGGGCCCAAGATGAGTTCGTTGTCGAAGTAACGATGTTGTCGGAAGAAGAAAACAAGCAACCGGAAGTCACACGTCCATCCGTGCCAACTGATAGTGTCTTTTCATCGACAATGGTTCCAGGAGGGAAGACGTAGTCGAGATCTGGTCCTATGTTATAATCCGACATCTGCGGGGCAACAGTGCCATAACTAGTGATAAGTCGATATAGCTGCTTGAACTCCATGTAAGCTTCGTTTGGCCACCCACTTTCCGTGAACAAGTGTCCGTCAGCATTCTTGGAGTTCTCGTAGTAACCCATGAGTGGACGATTATTCCAATCGACGTTATACCACGAGCTATTCAAGTTCGCACGTTGGTCGGCCAAAGTAGACGGAGTGAATGTGTCATCAGAAAGATTACCCTGCAACACATCGCTGAGCAATTGCCCAGACTGAGGAAGTTGATTCGGAGACAGGTTCGGAGCTGGAGCGTCTGGATCGGTGATAGATGAAGCAGCATGTACGTTGAAAGTGAACATAGTTATCGCTGCACTAGTTGTAGTAGCTGTTGTTTCGAGGAACTTCTCTAGTGTGCCGGTAAGTAAGTCTAGCGTCATCAGAGATGTGCAATTGTAACTCCCGATTTGCAAAAGCGGCGGTCCATTGGGGGTTGGGAAATCGATTATGGTTGGTGTTGCTGCACTCGTTGAAGCTGAGGAAGTTGACGATGCGACCGAGGACACGACTGCTATCGAACTCGACGATAGGTCTGCAGACACCGAAGCCGATGTGGATGTCTGTTGACGCTTTTTTGCCTTGCCTGGAGGATCGAATGTAGACAGCGGGATCTCCGCACTCATACTATCACTTGATGGCGCTATTGTCGGCCCAGTCGCCACAGGCAGATTTCCTTCAGCCGATGTGTCTTCATTCGACTGAGGCAGCTCAACTGGGCACAAACTCCATACTGAACGCAGCGGATCCCAATACGTATCGACTGTGAATTTCCGGACGCCGACAGCCAACAAATTTGAAAAGCATTTTTGGAAAGCATTATGTTCGTACTGGTTTTGCGCAAAACACGCCTGTGCCAGCGATACGGCTGGAACAGTCTGAAAGTTGATCGGTACACGGAGTCCGATATCTCGTTGTGCCTACGACCGGTCAGCAAGGCATTCTCTAACATCTGCGTACTTCCAGAATAATAGCGCATTGACCCTGTGAAACCCAACACCTAGGACACTTCTCGCCGGACACTCTACACAACACGTACAGCTGACACTTACTCTAAACGCCTCGGTCCAGGGCTCTATCCAACGCGTGTTTACAGCACTCTGGTCCGGGTTATACAACCCGTTAGCCGACATTCCCGCTGTTGGACCCAAACATCAGCAACCGCGAAAACGTGGCACACACCTCGCGTGCAACAGAAGGGCAAAGACGGCACCAGGAAGCAGGGGAACACGACAAGATATGTTTAGAAACAATATGCAACGGGGTATATTCGTATATGCAGATGCAGGTGTTGATGATGGATAGGATGATGTCGTTGACGATCTACAGGGCTGCAAGGCGCGACGGAGGTGCGACGTCACGTGGTACGGTGCTAGTTTTCCCACCACTCCCGTTGCGGTTAAAGCACGACTGGCCAATGATGACGATTTGCATCACCAAGCTCACCGTTCAAAACACCATGTCTGCAATTTGGAAAGCGACGATTCCAGCAAAACGTCCGATGGCTTGCATCTTGATTAGGTAGCGGAATGCGTGTGGAACGCATGGAACGTGTGTGGTGTCATCATTTACCCATGATATAATCTAGGAAGTCGCACATATTAATCCCAAGGATTCGAAGGAACGTTGTGCGTACAAGCCTCGCACATACACTTAACACAGCCGTTATTACTGGGCTTGCGCAATACCGAGCCCGCGTTGCTGGCAACTCGCTACCTACAGTCCGTAAGCGAGAGCTCGTGTCTCACCGTTTCGTGCGACCTTGATCGACGTCAGAAAACTTTTCTCAGGGAGTTTGCTGGCTGGGTAAGATGCAGGTCAGCAGCGGGCGGGCGGGCTGCTGGGAACTGCATTGAGGGCGCATTGAAGTTTGCGAAAAGCTTGCGTACGGTCTTTAGGGACAATGCAGGTATGCGGCGCACGCATGGACTTGCTGACTGCCGCTTACTGTGTACAGTGCGGATTGCCACGACTACAGTCGACGGAGAAAAATGACCGCTGCAGGAGTACTGCTTCTACGACCCGTTTTTTCGCGGGATGTCTCCTGGCTACGGATGCAACGTTGCTATTGAGGTAAAAGGTCCGCTAGCTACAAGCGGTCGAGTCAACGTCGCCCACGGTAGAGCCGAGAGAGCCGGAGCTGTAACCCCGACAATCTTGCGTAGTTCAAAGCGAATGCGATGAAGAAAGGGCCTAAATCTGGGTAGCGATGAGAGCAGTCAAATGGAGGTTGCTGGTACTGCAAATGCACTCATCGGGAAGAGAAGGGTAACCTAATCGATCACAGGGCTACAACGAACACGCTTATGAACTTTCTACTCGATATAGCAAAGAACCCCTTGCAGCACAGAAATGGGTCTATTTGAAGAGGTGTGCACACCACACTCAAGGCGGCAGTAACTCCGCACTGTTGATACTTTCGTCGACAGTCGCCGACGCCGTGACACGCCCCAATATCGGCAGAAGCAGAAACAACGGCTCCAGACGTTGAAGTACGTATGTCCGGCCGTCCGGGGAGATATCCACTGTTGTTTGACATGTAACGTCCTCATTGCGTACGCACAAACGAACGAAGTTTCGCATGATGGCACTGTCCCCACACGACTGTTGACGCAACCGCCCCATGCGCGTTTCACCGAGGGCACCAGCACGTTACCGAGCGTGCCGAGCTTCTCAAAGTCTGGGTGCGAGGGTCTTGGTCTGACACCCGTCTGACAGTCCTGCATACCCCTACATCTGTAGTGCAGTTGTGAAGACGACGTGTTTCGCGCATAACTACTACCTCGGATTTGGACATGCAATCCCAGACATGATAAAAAAGGTTTCACCATCGAAGCTGCATGCACATGTCATGAGTTCGACCGAGTGCATAGCCTCGCCACGAGCCACAGGTTGCGGAGAAGGTCCGGCGAGATCTGCGCTAGAAGAAGACGTTGTGATGCCTGTGCCGATCGAAAGGAGCACGACATTGGCACATGGTGACGAAGGGCTCGATGTGATCCTCGTTTGACGATAATCGTACCATATTGGAAAAAGAGACCACAGCCACAAGACCGAGATGCGCCGGATCAACGGACCCGCAACCTTCAACGTTCAACGGCAAATGGCGATGTGCACTCGTCTACTCGCCCTCCAGTTGCAAATCCGATGTTCCACAATACCGCCGTCCATGGTACCATTGAAAGTCGTATTGAAACGGGCTGAAGACTTGAAAGAGATCGCGACCCGAGAGACTGGAAACTGAAATACCTTATGCTCAGGACGGCGACCTTCGATCAACGCCTCTGCGACGGCGTGTTGCTTAGCAGCAGAGGGAAGGGCGGTAGACCATGGGAATGAACGGCGACATCCTCTTGACGGCGTGGGCCCAGTACCAAAGTCCTCGTGGGCGCTATGGTTTAGTGCGTGAATGTCCGCATTAGGGTACCAGACTTCCTTACTATGCCATATGCACAAAATGCGCGTGTCTTCCCAACGCTTCCAGCACGATTGTGGACATGGAGATATACGCTAGTCGCAAATCTCGCGAGCCGTCGCGCGCTAAGGCGTAGATCAAAGTCTAATTCCCGTAAGCGGTAAAGCCACTAGTAGCCGCATGATCGAGCCCTGGAGGACCCAGTGTCTTGTTTTCTTACTAGCAATGGCAGGTAGGAATGATGGTGGCCTTCTAGTCGCCGACCCTTGCTGTAGTGAATTAGGCCGAGTGGGACGTTGACGTGGACGATTCGAACGATCACACGGGAGGGGGGGACGTTGAATCGTAAATTACAATGAAGCGATTTGCTCGGATGCGCGGTTGACGAAAACGAGGGCGGATGTGCCGCACCGGACGACGGTACAGAGAGCAATGATTCGTGAAGCTCGTTGGAATGAGGGGATCCTAGTGCGTGTACCTGTGCGTACAAACAGGAGGTGCGTGGATAGTTCGTAATTTCCACAGTCGCTATTCCAGTGCGGTGTAGGGGAGGTCTTGCGATACTATTGACTTCGTGTCGACTTGCTCTCTGATCTTTCCAGGGACTCCCTGGAGATGGTCTATCAGAAGAAGTGCCGAAGCATACCTCGATGTCGCAGGACTCACGGTGACAGAATCTTGCTGAGCGGTCCAGAGCCCCACCTCGGCCACTATTGGTGGCAGTGTACGGAAAAGGAGTAACCAATCAATCATTTTAGAGGAAAAGTATTGTCTGTCAGCCGGGCGCGTTCAGTCCAATGAAAAAGTAGTATAGGCGACACTGCAGGTGTTGCGACGGGTACGACTGCGTGGGCTGATCGGTGATTGTGGCGAGATCGCCCCATGCGTACGTTGAGGTGTGGATGGAGAAATCGTGGTAGTGGGTACCTCAGACGTTTGTGAGTATCTGTCATGCGGTGGGTTCCACAACCGGTTGAGGTGCCATTGGAGCGGTGAGCTCACGCCGCCCTGGAACGTTTGAAAGCCTGGAACTTAGTGTTTGTCGATCGATATTCGCGGTGGGAACTCCTTGTTCTGTTCGTCAGTCACTTGAACATGTGAACTTGGTACTCGGTATCACTAGTTGGTCTTGTGAGGAATGGAAACTGCTGTAAGGGGTGCATATGTTGTAATATTGATTGTATTTGATTGGCATCGCTAGAGGACGCTTGCAAGTGCTGTTGCACTGCTGGGTATTATTACTGGCAACGAAATTGTCGCAGTGTATAGCAAGGCCTGCTTGAGGGCCGAATAGAGAAACGCCGTGATGTGTCGAATTTCGACGTGCTTGATGCTACATGGCTAAGACGAGCCTAAATAGAACCAGACTGATGTGCCTCCCAAACCGTTGCACGTGAATAGAGATGCGACATGGGGTATCCTGAAAGTCGTATACGATGTGTCCCTTTTTAGTTCCATGCAAAACAAACGACAAGGTTGAAGAACTCTGTAACAAACAAAGTGTCGATCATTGAATATCGGCCATTAATAGAAGTAGGTGGTTTGAAACGTGCGACGTATAGACAAGAAGGGGTATGTTGGACAAAGTGAAACATGATAGACAACTACATGATGTTTCGCAGGGACATCCTGTCTTTGGGTGAGACGGGTGCACTCCGGGCCTCTGACGGTACCGAAGGGAGCACGTAGGGTGACGGGAGTTGTCGCGCAGCTGGGCTAGTTGTTGCACTCGAAGACTGCGGCACCGGGAGCGTTGGCTCGGCGAGAGAGTGGAAAGGAGGAAGTGCCCGTTGTGGAACACTTGTTGGCGCAGACTGAGGCATAGAGTGGTGGTGTGTGAGCTGAGGTGTGGGTTGAGTGAGGAGTCTTGGTGGTTGTGGTCGCTCGTAGTTTGGCTCGCGGAACGCAGGCGAAGGCTTGGGTGCTGAAGCATCACTGCGGTGTAGAGGAGGGAGTTGTAGTGAGCCTCGTCGCCTGTAGACATCGTAGGAAGAGTCGTCTTCGGGCGCAAAGCCAGTTGTGGGTAGATATCGGGTAGAAGAGCTCTTGCGTTCCTCCCGACTGCCGACTAATGGAGCGAGTGTGATGTCAAGTGGTGAAGCTGCACCACGTGGTGAGCGAGACTCTGAGCCAGTGTCTGTGATGAGAGAAGGTGCGCCATCGGCTGACACGATGGAGTAGCCAGAAGGAGAAGGCATGGGCGTCTCGAATCCCCGTGCTCGTACGGTAGCGTGCGATCCATAGGCTGAGATGTCAAGAGGCTGAGGTCGTGATCCGGAGAAGGGTTCGAAACGCTGGGGCTGAGGCAGCTTCATGACGTGGGGAGAGTTCATTGAGGTGTTGAGTGATGGTCGGTGTGATTCGTGGTATGAGGCCATGCGGTGCTCTTCGTGGTGGGGCTGGCCATGGGGAGCTGGGTAGTGGTAACCAGTCTGCGGGTGGTGCATGTGCTCTCGGGGTCTCTGATCAGGGCGCTCAGGGTTGCGCTTGCGGCGGTTCTGGCCGCCATTCCACCAGTTCTTCACAGCGTTGTCGCTGCGTCCTTTTAATCTGCGTGCAATCTCTGCCCACCTCTTGCCCATCTCAGCAACCATCTTCTCAATCAGCTCCCCCTCTTCTCCAGTAATTGGATCATGGTTCAAGGATGGCTTAAGATTTTGGTGGTAACGCTCTCTGCATTGTTTTGGTGACCGGGAGCCGATCTCTTGTGAGATGCGTACCCAGTTGTGAGGTCCATTGCGAGCGACGAGGTTGACGAGCCACTGATCCTCGTGCTGCGACCATGGGCCGCGTCTGTGGGCAACCATGATGAAATCTTCAGGTGGAATTGGTAATCTGTCACAGTCCGTAAAACTATCGAGACGTTCAGAAGAGTCTCTGCTTGAGTCGAGCTTGTGTGAAATGTGTTGATGTTCTGGATGGAGGGTCAGTCCTGAATGGGTCCAAACACTGTGGGAAGTAGGCAGATTGGACGGATGTGAAACCACAACCATATCGAATGTGTCGAAGTTGAGAATGTGTGAATGGAGGGAAGTGGATCAGGAAGCTGGTGTATCCCAACAGGCCGTGATGTTGGTAGACAAAATGCAGGAGGGGCAGTTGGTGACCAACGACGACGACGGGAAAGGAGAATTAAACATACCGTATTGTTAGGTTTAGAAGCACAGAGTCAAGTGTCAGTGTCGATTGTAGTATGGTAGAGGCGAAGTCGAACGGTGGTTGACGTTGGTAGACGAGCCAACGGTAACGTGGTAGAGGCGAGCACCGGTATATATCACGACGGGCGCGGGGAGGAGTAGTCAGGACACTTGGACGCCAAGGTGGTCGAGGAGCTATTGACTTGTTCGGGACGGGCAGATGTGTGCGAGGATTCTGCTTTTCAGACGATGCGGCTAAGGCACTGGTGAGATGGTGGACGGAGAGCGCTGGGGCGTCATGCGGCGCTCAGAGCGACTAGCTGGGCCCTGAGCAGCAAAGGGCTAAAGTAATCGTTGTCGACGACGCACACAAGCAGCGATGGACCTGGTTAGGTGCCAGATCGTCGGATTCGACAAGTACCCTGTATCACATCGTGGCATGGCGTATGGCGCTCGCCCGGCGCCGACTTGGGACGGCAGAAAAAGCAAGCGCAGCGCCTTGCTCGCATTACCACCCTGGAAACAAGCGTAGTGAATTGCTCCCCCTGCAACGCTTCCTGGCCGCCGACAGCGCGCTCGTCCCCGCCGGCGGCCCACCGCTCGCGCAGGATGGATGCACTCGCTAGGGCCCCTGGCCGTTTCGTTGTCGATTCATGATGGTGCACGCTAGCAGCAAGGCCGGTGGGATTTTGAAGACACCATGGAGACAGTCAATGATACCCCCACTCGGCGCGATACTTGCACTCCCCTGCCCACAGTAAAACCAAACATGTAGATGGCCGTAAGGTTGAGTAGCAGCCTCAGCCAGCCAGCCTCAGCGGCATCCAGGATGTTCCAGTGGACTCGGCCTCGTCCCCATCGTGACCGTGACAAGCTCTGTGTTCCGTCACCCTGGTCCAGGAAGGCCGGGCATGCGTCTTGGGCTCTGCAGCGCATTTATGGCCTTGCCCTGAGAAGTGATTGATATGGCCCTGGTGTAGTCCATTCTTACAGTGTCGAGAGGACATCTTGCCCACTTGTCTCCCCCATGGCAGGCGTGTCTGAACTGGTGTTTCCAGTAGTAATGCAATCCACCCAGAGACAGCCCTCTCCAGCGCCGCACGATGCACGTTGCAGTCAGCACTTGGGCGTCGATCAAACGGGTGCTGGTGCTGATTGCGGACCGGGCGCGAGTAGTGCGATCGTCACGGCCCTCACATTGGAGGACACGAGGTCGGCGAGGTGAGCTTGGCGTCCTTACCTCTCCTTTTCGGGCCTGTCGTTCTCCCGAGGCTAGCGCGGTGCACTCACATCGAACTGACGGTGTTTCTGCTGTTCTATTTTCTGGCGAGTGCGACACACGACCTGTTTGCTGAGGCGTGCTGTCTCGCTGTGTGTGCTGGGGAGGTGACTGTGAAGGTGTCGAGCTGGCGGCCGTTGGTGGGCTGAAGACTGATCTGCCGGCGGGCCAGTAGCGAGAAGTAGCGAGACCGCTCGACTGGAAAGTGCGCACCAGTGAGCGCCTGCCATGGCATTTGGAATATCGCTAGTGCACCAGTCGCGCCTGCCTTCCAGCCCTTTTCGGCAGGCTCGGAGAGCAGTCGCGCACCTTTTGGGAAAGACAAAACCGTTGATTGCCAAAACATATCGTCACTCACGTCTGCACGCTTTCCTCGCCGAAGTCACTCGTTAGGGCGATCGTATGCTGAAGCGGGTATCTTGGTTACCGTGACGCTATCATCTCGATCGTCCTGCATACTTGCAACGGGAGCCTCTACAATGACCGAGTGAGGCTGCCTTCGCCCAACTTTCTCCATTTATGCCCCCCAGCCCGACGTCGACCTATTACGCCATTGGTGGGGACGCTGTACGTCTGTCTACTCAATCTGATACTGCCAGAGAGGCCTATATCACGAGCGACCCATGTCGGCGGTGCGCAAATATAGACGGCCTCGTCCAGACTGCTGCATACCCCACGCGACATGGTTCCAGCTCTGTTCCCTCGAGCAGAACATGGGCTTCACCCATTTGCATTCGGATTGCCCGAGGTATCGCCATTCCCTGTTGCGCAAGCTTGCGGCGCAGGCTGTGGCTGAAGCATCAGATCCGGGGCTATTGGGGCTATCCTTCTCTGTCCCTAGCGCGTCCCAGTCGTCGGGCTAGCGTTACGGGACGCACAGCATCCGGCCGAGTGGGTGCTTTGTTTCGCTGAGCCTCAGCCGCTTTCTGCTGCACACGCACTCAAATGCAGCGACCTCGCCGTCCTTCCGACGTCTTCATCTGCGCGGCCTGGCCTGGTCATCCATACCTTCGCTAGAAATCGCTTGCAGAGCTCAACGGTCGCCGTCGCCGATCCCTTCCGAGCCCGCAATCTCGACGAACGAATGACAATTCCAAGGGTTGCAAATCTGCTACATGCGCACCCAAACTCGTGGCACGTCGCTGATTCAGTACCCTGGTAATGGTAAGGGTCAAGTTGCGATCGCGGAAACAAACTCTCGCCAAACATGCACGCCTGAACGTCGCGTTCGGATTCGCGCAACGGCTGTTCGTCTGTCGGCGTACTGGTGGAGACTTGCCTGTGCCCTTGAGTCGTCAAGTCGCCAAACCATGTACCACCGAATGTCATCCAAGACCCTCAACCCCCTTCTGTTCCTCGGAGCACCGCGCGGGGTCTTCCGCTTGGTCGACGATTTTTGAAATCCTTGTCTGCCCTCTATTACGATTGGCTGCTTCGTACGTCAGCCGCAGCTACACTCTCGACCATCCTGAACCATGCCGCGCGCACTATCCCGCCCTGTGGGACCAACGGTGGTTCCAACAATCAGATGTGGCTCATGCTGTGCCAATTACAATGTTTGACCCAGACAATTTGCAAATGGAGCATCGTGTTACAGCTACCACGCTCTCGTGCCACGTCTTCCATATGCCTCTGTCCGAACATGTTCGGGCCTTGACCTAAACTCATGTCGAGACTGCACTTCTTCCCGACGCCAGATTACACTCTATGTAACAACGGCATGCTTCCGCACTACATTACCCGCACCTTGCGAGTCGCGGAATATTGGCTTTCGTCGGCGAAAACTCCCCAGCAAGGTCTGCCCTCTCTCTTGGCCTACACAAAGAGAGGATATGCGCGGGTGGAAGGGGATGGGCGATCCACGGATTGGCAAAAATCTCACAGCATGTTCCCTGTAGGTGTTCCCCACGCCTCACAGCATACGCTCTCGTCATGCACATGATATGCACATCACGGCAACCATGACCGATGTTGACCAAGTTACTCTTCTGACGTCTTGCCGATAATGGTTCTGGAGTCACGCTTGTAGCCTTCTGTAGCTGACTGCCCCACTCCCAATATTGTATCTATACCTACAAATCGTCATTGACGGCACGTTTCTACCAGGGTCTGCGGATACGCATACTGCCGTGAACAACTCTTCGGCGAGGAAGGGGTATGAGATGAGGCCTGTCTGGATTTGCATTTCCTCAAATAACTCCCCATACGTAAAGACAGGGATACCCAGCCACGATCTTCTAGATCAGAGATTGACGAGTGATCTACGCCCGGCCAATAGGCAGTGCCAGCCGCTGCCTCAATCTTCCTGAAACCCATTCTCCATCTTTGAAAGCTTTTTTTGTTATTCCTACGTGTCCTACTCCTATCAACTGGGTTCGCTATTGGTGGTGGCGCCTCCCAATCCAATCTGCGGTTGACGAAACGTTTACCCATCGAGGTTTGGAGCTTACAGTTTTTTGACAGCGGCACACCAGCGGCCAAACTCATTCGACCTGTCCACGCAGTGGCCCGCACCAGCCTCATTATTCCAGGCATCCACGCACGCGTGGCAGCACTGTTCAGCAACTGGTCTAGATGCGATCTTCAACTCCATACCTCAACTGCACTCATGCTTCAGACATGTCCGGGGTGATACCACAGTGCAGTACACTGCATTCCTTCGCGCAGAAATTCACATAGCAAAGCGTTGTTGCTGACTCGTCATCGACCCCATCTGCGTACGTTAGCGCGCTGCTGCGGCGCATCCTCCTCACTGGTCCAAAGCAAGATGCGGCACCAGCGAGGGAAGGCCGTTTAGCTCAGATCTGAGCGCCCGCCGAATCGGATCGACACGCCCCACCAAAACCCCTTTCCTCCCTCGCTCAGAGGGCTGCAAAAGTAACAAAAGTTATAATGCGGTCAGCAAATGCTATCCGAAATCAGCAGCCAAGATTGTTGGCATCCCATACGACTCGTCGCTCGGCCCATGCCGACCTAGCCCATGTTGTTCTTGGTCAACATTTCGATGATTCGCCGGGATTATGCGTTACCTACATCACCCGCCCATACGGAAAATAGCACCCAACGGATGATCTTCTGTTTCGGAATTTCACCGTCCTTCAAAACGTTAATGGCGTTGATCACGATGACACCTCGCCAAGCCCTATGGTGATAGTCAATAGACCAAGTGCGGGTGACCTCGCCGAAATACTAGCAATTGGTTTTGACCGCAGAATCAGGTTCCAACAGCTTGTGCTAGGGAGGGTAGGCCGACCGTGACGCTTGATTCAATGGTTACTGAACTCATAAGTCCCCGATGCCGTGTGCGGTTACGGCCGTCGGACATCCGCATCAAGACCGTCTCCCGCACTACATGTAGCGCGCCAACAATTCATCACCAAAGTCCATGCAACATGTCCCCCTTCTGCAAGCCCGGTTATCGAGGCAGTCATCGTGTCATACTCGTTTCCTTTGCTCAATGTCCATCTGTGCGTACCATGATCAACCACACCGATGATCGACCGGTTGGCCACACCCGGATGGAGATCCACGACTCATGAGCATTCTTGCGTGCTCAGGGCGATCAGGGTGCAGTCGTTGCTTCTTCGTAACCTTCAGGACTCAGATCCAAGGCATGCACTGCACCGCCTCGCCTCACGTACCCATCCATCCCTTTTCACGTCACGCCGAAGTGCCCGATTCATCCCCCTTCCAGCACAAGCTTCCCGTATCACCCTATGCCCTTTTCCCCCACACGAGCTTCATCAAACAGCATGCTCCACTCAGAATGTTCAGGAACGTTTGCCCTGGACACGGGCCCTGCCAGAAGCATAAAACAGCATCAGGAGGGCTCTTCGAACAGGGATGATCGCTTCACTATGTTGGCAAGAGCTGGTAGAGCGTTCACCGTTTCCGGACAGACAGTAGCACGCCCACGCGTCGTTGGGGATGACAGCGCATCGTACGAGCAACAAGTACCCACTCTGAGTAGACTCATTACAGCAGTAGAGCCATTCAGCGACGCTTGTGGACCACTATCTACTCGGCTTCGCTTCCGCGCCCAAGTTTACATGCAATCATTATGAACTCAGCTGTTCAAGACTGAAAGGAAGCCCGGAAGACACCGTCGATCCACATGCACCATAACGTTGCCAACTAGCCTACAGTTACCGCTTTCAGCACTTCTGCTTATCGTTTTGTTCTCTCAATAGCCCCGAGCACCAATCACCATCCCGAGTCGAGCACCATCTGAGGCACAGCAGAATCCTGTTTTGCAGACTTGCCATTCTTTTCGACCATTACTGACTCGTCGCAACATGGAACGATAGTGACTGTCACAGTATTGGGCTCCAAACTTTCAGCACTGAATCGGCGCGCTTGTGGGTTTGAGAAAACCCGGTGGTTAAGCTGAGCATCAGAATGAGCTGATATCACTGCCACGTTAGCTATGACGATCTCTTTTACATGGGAGATTGTCAGAGCATTTCACTGACCTGCTGAGCGTCAGAGAGCACCTGCATGCATGTTCAACTCGAGGCAATCACTTTCGCTCGAGTATCTCATTCCAATTGCGTGATCACATGTATGCTTCTAACTCCGCCATGAACAAATCAGTAAGCCTCTGCATTCGATGCAGGTGCAACCTCTCATGAACTGCATTGTGCGTTTGTCTTTCTTTGCCTCACTTTTTTGAATCCTCTTCAGTCCACTTTATTCTTTGCACCCAAATGTCGCTCCAGTGCCCGGGCAACAGGACGCCATCCGGTGGTATGACTTTCATCCTAGAGCCACTCCAGGCATTATCAGCTCAGCTTCCTCGGTTCAAAGCAGTGGCACAAGCCAGGCACTGTCATTAAGAGTATTGCTGAATGAAACCTCAATCTATGGCGCCTGGCCTAGACATGAGTCCACTAGTCACCCACCCCAACTCAAAATAGTTCCAGCTTCAGCTCGACAGGCTCGTTACACCGATCGAAATAGAGCAGCACCTCGCTTCCATGCCCAACAACGCTGTGGACGCTGATATCTCACGCATCGCATTCAGTGCATGAATGGTACCCCACGTTGTGCCTTCTACGACACGCGATGTCCGTTCCGGAAATCCGTTGAGGTACCTGAACAGCGCCGAACACGAAGACCCAAGGCCACGGTAAGAGCACGAGGCTTGTCTACATATAGTTGTACAATTAGCCCTTGCGTCCGTGAGTGGCGGAAGAATTGGTACAGATATAGTAGGTTGATGATACACGGCAGTTTGGGGTTGGACGTGGGGTAACGCCATGAGAAGGATACGACATGCTGATTTAATTGCACAGGCAGGCGACGTATGGGCAGTACCCATCACTCGTCACTACCGGGTCAAAGGATACAAACAGGAATGTGCAACAAAAGCGCCATGGAAAGGCGCTCAGCGAAAGGAACATCACATACGCTCTACTATGACGCTCCATACACTGCCGAAAGATGGCTGTCGCTCTCTGCGCAAGAGTCGCAGATTCGCTCGCTAAGCGATTTACCACCCTGCTCTCAGCTTCCACAAGCTGCATCTGCATGCGTTCAGAGGACATGAGCACGGCAATCCCGGTTGGCGAAGACCATGGCTCAGCCAACGAGCCTCCAGACCCCTCGTGTCTCCCTCTGGTACCACTTATGGGAAGCCCGTCAAAAGCTGAACACGAACCCGAGGCCTCGCACCCGGGTCCAACGCCCGCAAGCGCCGCTTTCTGTAGGATGCTTCTAGGTAGTTTCCAAAGGGTAGCACGGCGCGCACGCGAAATTTCTTACTGCATTGTCGGCTGGCCGCTGCGTAGGTCATGCCTGTCCTTTCAAACGTCGCGTTCGCTTTTGCTAAGGCGGGGTCAGGAATCTTTCAGGCATACGAAACCTCCCACCTTGCACTGTCCCTCGCAAACCATTTAATCATCTTTCTCACGTCCGACCAGGGTGGTAAAGACAAGCAGAAGGATCACATCCTCCCTGTCGCATTTCGCACAATACTCCCCAATCTGTCAGCTACGCGGGCCGTAGCCGTCCGGAACCAATCTCCATCGTCATCCACCCGCGGCTTGTCTTGTCTGACACACGACAAGGGACCTTGGACCCCATGCATCCAACCAAACGACAGCGGGGTGCACACCGAAGGAACAAGGGAAGTCAAACATCACGTATTCAGGCATGCAAGCGAGAGAAGGGACCAATTGCCCGCCTAAACCCACGAGGCAGGAAAAGCCGTTGTGCCACGCTAAACTGATTTTATTTATAGCGCTGAGCAGGCGTGTATTCCCTCCGTCCCATCCTATCTACGCCCCGGGAGTCGGAGACGGCATGCAGCTACGTTGATGAGACGGTGTGCGTCTATATCCGCCGGCATTTTGACGCCGAAGCGCGATATGGCATTGCGGCGTGTATTCTTCACAACATGCTTCTGCCTGCGTTTATGAGTTGCGGGTATCGCGGTGTTCGCGATAGTGGAGCCCTGGATTAGGCCCGATGCCACCCGTCATCGCGGCCATCTACGACTTTGCAGTCCATCGCCCGTTTGCAGTAGAAGGCGCGAAATTCTTTGCAACACACATGTGGATACAGACCGGTCGGCCGATCAGATAGCGCATGTCATCTTGAACATGGCCCCTTGCTCCGTTGCTGGCGGAGCGGAATGAGAGTGCTCGGGGCTGGTAGAAATATTTCACCGCGAAATCGGCCGAGTTTCTTCATTCTCGGAGGGTCACAGTCTAGAACACTGTCTACTTGTTGACCGCGCTGGGTATGTGTCGCCTTTAGGAGATACCAGGATACCAGGTCGACACAAACTTCCACGACGTATGGAAACAACGTAATTGTACAGAAGAACCCCGCGTCGTCATCCTGCACTACTACCAGCCCGTGCACAAGCCTTCTCTACATCACGATCCTGCATCTGCATCCTGCAGCCCGGTAAATCACCCGTGGGCCTACGTATCCATTTCATGACAGCCTGACTCTTATTTCTCTTAGTCAACTTATCGGCCGTAGGCGTTTTTACGAGCTCGAAACCTTGAGAAAGGGACCCTGCGTCTGACCCCTCGCAATATCACATCGGTCAGATATTTCATGTGTCGATCAGACGATTGTTGGTGTTTGGGGTAAGTTTGAGTGTGAGTGAGGCGAATGAGCAAGGGCAAGTGCAAGGGGTTTCGTGTAAGACCGAGGTAGGATGTCATTGGGAGAATAGACGAGAGGGAGGATCTACGGTGATGTATGCTATTGGATGTGAGTCTGATAATGCAGCTTGCCCTGTTCATTCAGCGACGGCGGTCCCAGCAATCTGGTAACGCTAGTTCAACGGGCGCGTAAAGGTGGTAGGCTGGGATTCATTATGTCGCCTTACAGAATAGGACAGTTGGTTTTGGGCTGCCGTTTGTTGCATGACGGGCTTTCATGTACTGCACGTTTTTCTTCTCGGTGATGCAGGACCTAGGCCTTTTGCGTGTCGTGCGTCCGCTTCTAGAACAACCAGTTTAAGCGAAAATGACATGTTTCTGGCATTAGCCTCGTGCTTTCGGACTCAGGTCGTACGTTTTGGGCTGTCTGATGTGTGGCGAGCAGGCAAGTCAGGAATGGCGCAAGTCTCTTGCCTGCAACGCGTGGCACTCCATATCCGTGTGTCGTCACCACACCACACTACACTACACTACAATGCAACTAGGCGCAAAAATCCTTCAGCCTCTTTCTGTACGTTCGCTTCCTCCGAGTCAGTCAAGTTCAGTCCCGTCCGTTCGTCCATATCCATTAGCCACCTCATGATCTTCCAGCCTTTGCGCCACAAAATCCTTCCACATTGCAAAGCGGTAAAAATTAAACATTTTTACCTGTTTTGAGCCGGATCGCCTGACTTCCGGAATCCTTTCACAAACCTACGACATCCTGAACTGCTGCTTTGGGTAGTAGCGTATTGCCTGATTTGGGATGTATGCGATGAAGGGTTAGTAATACTGGTCTGTGGAGAGCTGGACTTTGTATGCATCGGTGGCACCGTATGGAACGATTCTCCTCTGATGGGACTGACTGCAGATGGCGCAAGTGAACTGTTCATGATGGATTTTGGCATGGTTGGTGTTGAAGCAGCGCCGAGATGGGTGGTTCAGCTCTCTCGGTCCACACCTTCTCTCTCCATTGGGTCTTAGCATGACAACGACTCGTTCGGCAGTTGCTCGCGACGAATGACCTTGACGCCGCCGGCGTTGTTCTGGCCTTGTCGATACCGGACTCCGTCACAACGTTATCCTAAACGATACCGCGGACTGGGCCGCCCCATTCCCATCGTGGCGACTTGATCGTCCTTACCCGTCCGAAGCAAAACCAGGAAAACTCACGGCACAGAGCCGAGATAACGGCTATAGTAACATTTTGATTGGGGTATATTGTTGCCGAGAAGAAACGTCGCCGAGGTAGTTTCGCTTCAGGCAGTCATTGAGGCTGGGCTATAATGGGTATGGACATGGATAAGCGATGATGATCGTTTTCCTTGAGCGTATCGCAGAGCGGAAGGCTGCGGGGGTAAGAGTCTTGGGCGGCAACGTTGAGGCTATCAGCTGTTGATTTTGGGTCACATGCGACTCGAGAATTGCGAGTGGTGGATAAAGGTCTAGTTGACATGATACTTCCATGAAGACTATATATGTTACCACGATGTACGATCCCTAATTAGGTGGAAACGAGATGAAATGATCATCAAGGGACTGAAGCGATGACTTGGAGGACAGGATTGTTATGCCTAACTTTCAGAGCCCTACGCCAGCTGCGATCGACCTGTCGCTTTGGCTTTGACCGAGTACTTCAGATGGTTGTTGAGACGCTTGACAACCTTAGTTTGCTAGATTTGTGTAAAGTAGCTGTATCTTTACTGAATTACAATAGGATCTCAACTCTACAGAGACTGCGCAACAGAGGATTGCAATGGGAAGGAAACTAACAAGGCTCGATATGCTCATATTCCATCGCGTTGCCAATACTGTATATTGTTTCCTGTTGTTCTGCTGCTCACTGAGACAAAATTACGAATACAACCACAACACTAGTAGCCCTGCTATCGGATAGTAGTATCTTTAGCATTCAGTTGCTCCCTCGATGTTATGTATGTCTGCATAACTCTTACACGATACCTTCTTCATGAGTCATCTTTTGTCTTTCTCATCCTGATCCATTTACTGTTCCCTGACTACACGCACCGTCATCTACTCCACCTCTTCCACCAGTAAATTTCTGCACTCTTCCACAAAGCGCAAACGCAAAGCTACGAGCTACCAACACTACGTGATCTCCTGCCATTCTTTCGATGACACTTTCTCAAGAGGACGCAGCGAACCAATATTCTATTCTCGTCAACCTCAACATCTATTCCTCACTTCTCGTAAGCAGCGTATTTCCACGTGAGGTGAGTCGGTCGTAGAGTCTATAGGGTCTCGGTAGTATTAGGAGGATTCAATTGATACATACTAACCCATTGGATACCTTCCGGGTCCACTGTGATATGTTAGTAGCTACTCAGTAGTCCTGCGAAGGTTGTCTGGGTACAGCGTTCCCAACGTAACGTAGTACGGCGGGGTACGGTACGTTGATACGACGTACGTAAGCCGTACGTAGGAGACCCCTCATTGGTCCGTATCGTATCCGTAGGGGGTGAAGTTTTGGGAGCCGTAGTACGGCGTACGGCCCGGAGTTATCGGGTTTTGGCTGGGGATCGCTGTGAAGCCGAAAAAACAGCGTAGGAGTCCTATACAGCTGATTTCTTAGTGTTGCGATTGCTGTAGGCGTACCTGTATCCAAAAAGAAGCAAAAAGAGAGGTTTGTAACCTAATTCGAACAAAAAAAAAACACTACAGTGGTTCCAACTACACCCGAGAGAGGCTTATGAAGGAAGCCGGGACAAGTCCCTATTGGTAACCGCACTACGCTATTGTGGGTGTAGTTAACGGAGACGGCAAAGTCTCTATTCACAACAGCGTGTATATATACCTGCGCTACGGGGGTCCTTGTATGTTGCATGATGAGATATAGCTGGTTTACGCGGTATAGAACCTTGCCTTTGGCGTACGGCAGGTCCTCGATGAGGAAGTACAGCTATCGTGAGGTCTATCTAGCTTTCCGTGGTGTTGTGGGTTGACTGTAGCCCATTTAGCGGCTCCTCATCGCTCATCGTTGAGATATCGCGCAACAGAGGCAACAACAACACCACGGAAAGCTGGATAGACCTCACAATAGCTGTACAGGGTGTATCGGCTCACGGATGGAAGCTGGAAACCTCGTGGGTATCGTGGGTATTGTGAGAAGTTTTGTTTTGGTGACTGAGTATTGCGGTGGCTGGGAGGTGGCTGGGATGATGGGCTTGTTGATATAGAGACTTCTCGCCAGCTGTATATCGTCAGTATCATCAATTGAATATGTCTCAATCTCAACTCAGAAGCTGGGTACGGGGTACTCCTTCAACGCCGTCAGTCAACTCCTCCGCGTCAAACTATCCTGTATACCACCATGCTGCCTCTCGCCGTACAGCACCATCAGAATCGCCATCTCAATTACCTCCAGTAACCCCTACGCCGTTGGGTATATCCTCACAGGTTTCTGAGCTGAGTTTTGACGACAACGAGCCTGCGTTTGATGTTGATTTCAGCCACGTATACAAGCTTGGGCAACGCTTAGATCCACAGAGCTTATCATACGCGGTAAAAAATAAAAGTCAACTCCTTGGCAAACGTACTGTATCCCGAATATGGCGTTATGGGGTACATCTCACGTACAAGGAAATAGACGGGAAGATAAAGCAGTACTGGCTTTGTAAGCGCTGCCACAATGAGCAATTAAAGGACCAAATCAAGACTGTTGACGGCTACAATCATATCATCAACCATATGAAGAAGGTCCACCGGATTGACGTCAATACAGGCCTTCTGCCTGAGGTTGTACAGGAAGATCTAAGATGGAGCTCCCCGTTTGACGCTGCGAGGGTTGCTGGTTCGAATCGACTTGTATCGCATACGCCGTGGCAAGAGGAGCAACTCCAAGCCGCTCTTATTGACTGGGTAATACTAAAAGATATTAGCTTTCTAGTTGCAACCTCACCTGAGCTACGAGGGTTGCTTACATGGAATCGAAGCGATCTCTTGAAGGCGCTGCCTACGTCAACCGCTACGATCGCTGAATACACGAGAGTAACCCTGGAGGAGCGGAGAGAGGAGATCAAGAAGCTCGTAACGACAGCGCGAAGCAAAATAAGTATAAGCGTCGACGTGTGGACGTCGAGTAACCACCTAAGCTTCCTTGGTGTTGTGGGTCATTTTGCGGGTGAGTCCTTGTCGATAGCT